GCTAGAGAATAAAATTCAATTTGAGTATAATATTAGTTGGCCGCGTCACATATTCGTTCGAGATTTGTTTAAGTTAATTTAATTTTTGACGCTACAAACAAGCTTGTTTTGTATTTGTACAAGTTGTTATTTAGCGTCAGGTTCGATCACACGTTTCAGTTACGTTGCATGAGCCTCGCGAGATGGGAATGATGATTATGTGAAATTACTGGCATTTCTCGAAACGGCCAGTGTGATTCTAATGCATTTTGTTTGTAAAAATAATATGTTACTCGTTTTCGAAGAGATGACTCTAGCGTCGAGGGTAAAACACGTCCCTCCCCACGTTTCCCACGAGGGAAAAATGACCTTCAGACTAAGGGGACGCTGAACGTGTTACTGTAGCCGACCAGGGCTCGCAGATGAGCTTTCGCCAATATATCCAAATCCAAAACATCAAGCAATTATGTCAATCGGATAGACATTTGAGTTGGTCGATCACTCGCTGATACTCGCTTACCTTCTGTAAGTGGACGAGTGCAGTACTCTTTTGGCTGTAGAAAATGAATAATGAAACTTGGAGCCGATCCTGGTCAAAGCGTAGTAATGCCCTCCAAATGAGAGTTAAACTGGGTTCTCTCCAGAGAAGGTAATCATCGTCGTGGTGTGCATCCAGTGAAACTATAAGCAAGTACTTTTCTATGAGCTTCTCCCAAACAACTGAAATGTACAAGATGAAGCATTCAGAAATGCGTCCGGTATGGCACATACGAAGTAAATGGCTTCTTCATGATAACGCCCAGCTTCATAAGTCTTAGCTGTATCATCTTATAGTCCCGACGTTGCCCCTTTCGATTGTCCGCTACCAATCCTTGCAGAACTGGAAAACTTCTGCATCTTTAGGTGTGCAAAATTACGGGTAACTAGTCTATCAAAAATAAAAATACTAATCTCCGAATAGATAGAACTGAAACGTAGCGAACAAGGGTCACCTCTAATAACAATTAATATATCATCGCGTTAAGTTCTATGGGTGAAAAAGTTCCTATCCAAAATTAGGCATGATTCCGAAGCGAACGTATGGGACGATCCGATAGAATTAAGTCAGATCTGAAGGTATGAACATCACATCACCATCACCATCACGGGTGTTTGAACGAACGTAAATTTCGCAATTTGAGGGAGTTTATTATTATTGTTATCAATAGCCGGTCACTAACGCTAGCTAGCCTTTTTCATAATCTCGACCTACACCTACAGGTGCGTCAATCCATATCTGTTCCAACATGACAATATCCGCTTGCCCTTCATCGATAGTATATGTTCACTATGTCACTGTCAGGAGTAAGCTTCCTTCTAGTACGAGCATGTCATAAGGCCAGCATTCGGTCGTTTACGAGCGACGACCAATATTTTCAACACTGAAACAGCGACGACGCCGCTGCTAACGTCTTTCGCGATATGAGACGCGATGCCGGTGACGCCAGATGGTCGTTATTCCGTTCTTCGGTATTAATTCTCGATGCTAATACGCTCCCTTCATTTATACATATATCTATCTAGATAGATAAGAAGCAATAAAGTGCTCAAGAACACGAACGAAAAACAGGCACAGAGGAGCGCGAAAAGAAAAACATGAAAAGAACGCGCACCAAAGAGCGCCAGCTATGCTGTATTATATAATAGCAACATCTGTCGCTGAATTGCGGTTCGGCACGCGTCAGCCAAAGGCGATTGACAGCTTGTCCCGTTTGCGTCGGTAAAATTAAAATGAAGAACTTATATTTTCGGCATTTACAACAGCTTCGTATTCAGTATTTCTATGAGAATCGGTATTCGATCTAATACGAATTAATTCGATAGCCGCTCGTCTCAGTTTGTTGAAGTGTATCACTATTGCTTGATCAGAGAACTGAGGATTCTCTCATTGAGTGTGGCACTTTGGTGCCTGAATTTTTCTTTTTTTGTTATCAGGTTTTTTTCAATCAGTTTACAGCAACAAACATTTTCTAGAAATCTGCCCTTGTTCGCACAGTTGACTGTTGTCGATAAAGGGGAGTGAGTACCTGACCGTGCGAGCCTGCACTTGCGCACAGCGGCTACATATATGCAATGTTGAATGTGTTTTTTACTTACTACACCTCTATTACTTATACTTTTAATTAGCATAGAGCAGCTCTAACTGAGTGTTGATCGCAAGCCTGGTTCTCTAAAAATCTTTTTCTTATACCTATAATATTTTCAAATCGTCTTAGTTAGCGAAAAGGAGTTCATCAGCAAACATTGTCATTGCTTATAAAAACATGGCTATTACCAGTAATTACTCCAATGACTCTTGCGCCATCATGGTCAAGCGTCGACTTAGGCTTTGTCAATTAGTTGTGCAATTAACCGATATTAGTCATTGTATTTCTTATTATTCAAAACTTTTTCAGATACCACTATGAAGGAGTGAACGCCCAACTTCTGGGCAATTTGGCCTGATGCTGTCTTGTCAGATTTTCAACTATAAGAAGTAAATAAGTAAGTACAACTGGTGCATAGGGCTAGGCTTGTCGTAGAGGCTTTTGCTCTTGGTCCTCAGCCGTTGCTCCGGCCCGTGGTTTCCTGTCTCCCACGAACCCTCAACACCTGGACATCTTCTCTACAGCTCCGCTATTCTATCGTGCAGCTCTCTTCGGCAGCACAAGGAGCGTCGCAGAAAAACCTTGAGATTCGTGCCACGATGCGCATGACTGTAGGTAAACTCCAAATAAAAACTCAACGCTAAACTAAGCGCCATAAGACTAATTCTAGAATATAATTAGTCGATGAAAATATAGCGGCCAACAGGGAGCCCTCGAACATATGTACGGTGCTATTTAACTACGATTTTATGAATCATGACGATGGACATGACCATTCTCGACGTCCTCACAGAACTTCGTTTTGTGGCAGAGTCGATCTCAGGGCAGGAAGCTCCCAGCGGCCAAACGGAACTGCTTCGGTACTCTCTTACCGGGACCTGACGAACCACACCGCAACCTCGAACGACCGGCGAGCAAACGAAAGCCACCATGAACGACCTGGCTGTTGGTGTCGCTACCGACGGCCAATGGTCGTTGTCTGTGGGAACCGCCGGCCAATACTGAGCGTATAGAGCTCGATGAATTTGAGAGCAAAATCCTGCTCGCAGTGAGTCTGCACCTTTGTCTAGTTGCGGATGTATGGGAGTACACCTATGCATAGGTTCTTCGGAAACAGGCATAATAACTGACCTTCGTAGAATGCGCAAAATCGGGCTTGGCTTTTAAGTTTGTCTAGTCTCGCTGTGGCCGCAACGGCGGTGGCTTTGACGGCCGCGTTGTTGGCCCTAAGGCCAAATAGAGCGCGCGAGTGTCGGTCGGTGTCCGCTTGGACTCCTTGCTCACTTCTGGAAGAAAGGTGGCTAAGCCGTGGGAAAGACCTTGCTATTGGTGATGGTGCCGCTGCTATTTTTTTTTTGTCGCAGGTAGCGGCAGCAGCAGCCCCTTGTGATCAGCTGTGGCGGCTGCCGTCTGCAGGTCGGCGTTGTCCTGGCAAAAGTACAACTGATTTTGAACGCCGAAAAAAGAAAGCTCGTCGTAGCAGTGAAAGGGGACTTGTCCTTGTTCTTTTTTTGTATATCTACATGTAGGTCTTAAGCAGATACTGTGATAGCTATTGTGACTTGCAAAAGAGCCCACAAAGAGCAGTCATAGACAAAATCTACCCTACTTACGGATAAAGGAATGTCTGTTTTCGCTGCCAAATATAGGAAGTCCAGTAGGACTTGATAATAAAGTGATGGCTCACGAACAAAACAAAAATATCATATTTAATAAGTTAATTCTTGCATTTTGCAAACGAAACATGAGGACATGTATGGACGGATGTATTGTTGAGAAATAAAACAAGCGCCCTACGTTTATTAAATAAGGTGCATGATTACTCAACCACAATGAATCAGATAGCCCAGAGAACGGCACAGAGGACCATTGAAGAACACAGCGCCCTTAAAACACTGCATATATTTATCTGCTATAAGTAGATTCTGTTTAAGGTACTTCATTGCATTTTGCACGTCACCAGCTAAGTAGGCACATTCTTCGCATATGAACTTAGTTCATTAGAGGGCTATAGTTGTGGTTTCATTTTTATCCTTGGGTGATCATTTTACTTAAGTTCCGTATTGTTTATTAAGAGCGTCCAAAAGCAAAAGAACATATCCGAAAGTACAGAAGCTTATAGTCGACCTTTCGAATTAAATTGCCATTAGACTCGCCTGGGTGAAGGATCAGTAAAGCACCTTTGCGGCCCAAGCGGAGAAGAGAACTCTGGTGAGTACTACAACTGTGAATGTTGCCGGCGAATAGGACCGAATGTCTGAAATGTCCTACAGTTCCCGCGGTGCATTGGAATATTAAGGAGTATAATGCTAAATAGACCGCCGTATATGTCGTCCAGTTGGCTTAGAACGAACCAGTCTAAGGGGCCGTATTCAATTTATTACATCGTTTGTGTGTTCGCCTGTACATAACATGGCGCGAAAAAATTTGGTTTAAACCCAACCGATTCCATAGGCCCTTATGACTAGACAGAGTTAGGTAGGGAAGCCTAAAAATATTTTAATTGACTAGAACACCAGGCCAAATGTTTAACGTCGATCTTTAGTTGCTTCCTCTTTCTAGGACATTCATATGAAGAAGCAGGAAATGAACGGCGTGAGTTCTAAAAAGCCTTAGCAGTCTTTCCACCAGAAGCCTTGCCGCTTTAGCGGAAAAGGAAAAGTCAGGCACATATGAGCCTCGATTAATGACTGTCGGCAGGCCGATAGTCGAAACAAAAGAAAGTATTTTCATCGAAGTAAAAAAGCGAAAAATATTAATGAAGAGTCGCGAAAGTTCAAACACCATCCGTGACTCTCCTCCAAAGCATCAGCTGGATTCTCGATACATGTTTTAATAGAAACGCATCCAAGTGCTATAATTCAGCTGTTTCGGTACCTAACGTGTCCTTATGCTTTCGCTGCCATTAACGCACCAAGAATCAAAATTAATATAGATAAAATGGCCCGTTGTTTTCTTCTTTACTTGATGTTTATTACCGTTATAGCATATCTGCTATTTTTGCCATTGCATAGCATAGTTAATGCGCGTTCTCCAATATCAATTCCATTATTACATACTGTAGAGTGCGTGTAATCATTGCTAAACGTAAATTCCAACGATGATTTTTTGATGACTAGTTGTAGATTGAAGATTGTTGATATGATGAGATATTCTATTTTGTGTTATATGCCCCATATCATGGAACGTTTCCGTGTAAAAGTGCTGATCAATCAATTTTCTATATATATGTCATCCTGGTAATCTGGAAAATATTTTCTAAGGGTATTCGTATAGACTCAGATCCACCTAAAAGAAGATCATGTGGTTTAACTAACTTTTGTTATATTTAGGTTGCAAATGTCATCAAGATTACTTCGCGGATTCTCAAAGCTATAGAAAAATTTCAACAATTACTAATAGCTCAAAGATTGGATCAAGCCCGTTTCCATGGAAACACGACCGTATTGCCAAAGGCTAAAGTATGAAAACAGTTTTTTGTTCTTATATATGCAACGAATAAGAGAAGCAATATCAATGGATCTCCGAGCGTAAAGTTCGGGGTGTGTACTTTGAAAACGGACTTGAGCCTTTTCTGTGCAACGACGCCTAGATATCTTTCAAAACACACTGATCCACAGGTTCGCGGAATCCCGCAAAGGAAACACGACTAAACCTGGCGAATAGTTCTAGTTGATAGAAGACTGTTTAGCCCTTACGCTTGTTTTTCATTAAAAAAAGACTATGTTTTCCACAAAAACCCTTCTCATATAAAAGTGTTATTCAGCAATTCATTACAAAACTATGGCCAGTTTTATACATGGAAACACTTTTGCTATTCAAATTCTTAAATGTTGAAGATCAACATTTCAACTTGTAACTTTGTCAAAGCTTGCATTGGTTGTTCACATTTAGAACATCAGTATACACTGTTTCCAGGATCGAACAAAAGGACTGCACTGACTCCAATCTGTCCCCTCACGTTTGAACTTTTGTAAGCCTTCACATAAGCCTTTTCTTGTTAAAGACCTGCTGCCGCTTCCCTGATCCTGCGTATGCGGCCACCGACGCTTCATTTTCATCGGTATACTGCTTGCACATGAAGTAGCTTGCACACCTCCCTCATCCACCCCAACTATCCGAAAAACCAGCCAGCGTCGTCCCATACCTAGACTAGAGCAGGCAGTTCTTGCCCATAGGAAAGTTCACACTGTCAACGGCAGTTCCCACAAGTGCAGCCCCTTGAAATGTGAGTAAGATAGGTAGCCTACGGCCACTATCCTACTTAAACGCACCAAACAACCCCCGTGTTCCCCCGAACCAGTGCGTTCCCTTAGAAGCGCCCCACTCTTTCTCGCCTCTTAGAACTATCCTATTTTTCTGTCCTACCCTTCCCAAGAGCTTTAACTCATCCAGCGCAATCAGCTGATCGAAAACGAACCAAACTTGGAGAGCCAGACGACGTAGAACTAAAGACGACAGGCCGATTTAATACTTCTGCCGAAAGCTCAAGAGTAGCCAGCAAGCAAGCAAGCATCGCACGGTGCAGAAGTCGGAGGACAACAAAAAAGAAAGGAAGGTTTATTAGATTTCTGCCTGCTTAGATCTTGCCTGTACACAATTGGACTTACGCATGTACTTACGCAGGTTGACTGTGGCGTTGAACGCGGTCGCCTCCAGTCACCAGACGATCGAAGAACCACTAGAGAGCGAAAAGCAGCCTAATGTTATGCTAAACGCTGTTATGGGAGAGAAATGATCTTCTTTGTCCTGGGTCTTCGCTTGGGCTTCACTTCGTAGATAGATCAGAGCGCAGAGCCACAGTGCAAAACTAGTAAACGTTCTAGATCCGTGCTTCTGCTACGCTCTCGTGAACCTTGTCATGACCGGCACGACTGTAGCGCACTCAGTGTGCAACGGCAATACACAGAGTTTCTAGCCTGGACGGATCCTATAATTTGCCGATAGTATTATCGTAGAACAGACCCAAAAGAGCGCGGAGTTGTTGACGACGACAATGGACCGACTACAAAATCGACAAGTACTAGTAGAACTTATGGAGAGTGATGGCGCAGCAGGAAAGTTAGCGCAGTTCGAGATGTGCCGGTAGTAGTAATATAGCCAGCCAGGAAGCGGTCGACAACGAACTGAACGATGAGGACAGATTGCGCCTTAATAACCAGAACAGGCTGTGAAGGCCAAACCGTCCAGCGGCATGGATGTCGGCAGACCGGGAGTATGTATTGTTTACGGTGGCAGGCAACAGCTCATTTGCAATGGCTTACTATGCATACGTATGAACACGACCACGATACTGAACACCGGTGCCATAAGACAACAGCAGTAGGTCTAAGAACCCCCAAGTCGCATGCAATAGCCAAACCCATCCGGCTTTTTCTGGGAATGATTTTCAGAAAGCAAACGACAATAGCCGGTGGAAACACCATCTGTGACAGCGGACGAAGTAGCTCACGTATGTTGCGCCAGAAACAGCAGCCGTTGCGTAGCAAAAATCCTCGATAGACGACTTCAAAACACCGGACGTCTTCTGGCGCCAGAGAACAGCAGGCTGTCGTAGTAAGCACGCACCGATAAAGGTTGATTGCCTCCTGGAGTCTGTACAGCTTTATAGCAGGTTTCATCTGCCGAAGATGTCTCTATATCGAAGAAAAATTGGCAGCAGAAGCGATCTGCCGAGGAAGGGTCGGTGACAAGGAGGACAGACGAGGGAAGTAGATACAGGAAAATGAAGAGATTCGCGTGCAGTACGCCAAGGTTTATTAATAGCAACTAAAGCCGCAATAGTTCTCAAGAGGACTTCATTTAAAAAGAACGAAAAAAGTTAACAAATATAGAACTTGAAATATATAGCATCATATTAAGGAGGTTGGAAATTTACAACGGCAGAATTTAAGACGCCGCAGGTTGCAAGACAGCTGTTAGGTAGAAAGGTGTTCACTTACGCCGAGCCTTTTGCCGTTAATGAATGAACAGCTACATAAATAAAGACAGAGAATAAAAGGGGCACGTTCTTTCACTAATACTATCGGTAGCGGATTGTCTATCGGCGGAAACGATTGATATAGCTGCTTCTGGGTTGCCATACTTGATTGGTCTGATCAACGCCATTAGACCTTTGAATAGGACACGTCTTCTAAAAGATGTGTGACACACCTGTCTTTTCGAGAGAAAAGAGGAAAGAAGTGCTTCTTTAATGTCTGTTTGTAGCACAAGAGACCCTCTAAAGATAAATCTCTTATGTGATAGCCAACTTTCCAGCTGGTAAAATAAGTTTTCTGTTTTCAGTGTGATTCATTACACAGAATAGCCTTTTTGTAATCCTGTATCAACAGATTTTCATTTTGTCCATTTTAACCGTTCTCACGTATTAAACGCAGAACCTCAAAGTATTTAAGAACCAGGTATTCACAGCCAGAGTATCCAGTACACTAAAACCATATGAAATAGATGCTGTTTTATTTTTTTTTGAAATTCAGTAAGAAACAGTTTTTTTCAGTTAATCAATAACGAAAACAATGGAAGACAACGACACGCGCTCCATACTATGCTCAGCACCGTATTGTGGTTCCACAGTGGTACAATAGCTACGTTCCCGAACGTGGATCGCTCTCTGCTCCACCGTTCGAGGCGCTTCGCGCGCTCAGCTCGGAGCGTCAAGCGGCACCAGCGAGCAGGAAGGTTAGCCAGCTATCCGCCCGTTGACGACCATATGGCCGTGGGACGGGCCCGTAGCCCGTTGAGTCAGAACCTCCTTTAAAATCTGTATGAGTCTGTGCGTGTGTATGTGTACTCACATATGTTGCTATAGCTGTAATAATAATACTGGTGGACTGTCGATGGATCCCTCAACTGTGAAGGTCCGGCATAGTGAGTCGCCTGGTAAAGCCATATGGCCGATAGTCGTAGCGACCGTAGTGCCTTTCGTCGTCTTCGTTTTTGAATGGGCGTCTAGTCTTCGTCGTGGCCACTGCTATTCGTGGCTGAGCAATTGCAAAGGGAAGATGCAAAACAACCTTGAGACGTTGCTGCCGCTGAAATGGATATGGGTCAACCTCGCTGCAAAACGCGGATTGGAGCTGTGATCGCTCGTAAGAAAGCATATGAGTGAACGGTGCACGCGAGAGGCGACACCATCACGCGCGAACTCACCGAATGAAGATGACAAGTCCCGTATAACTACAATACTATCGCTACGTAGACACATATGTAGAGAAACACACAGATCTCTTATACATACAGATCTTCGAAAAAGAAACTTCCGAGATACAAACGGCAAGCTATGAATGAAGCGATTCATTCTAAAACGTGTAAAGACACCTAAGTGAAAATAGACGATTTCTCTAATCGCACTGCTAGGAGGCGAAGATTTACCTAGATTAACAGCAATTAGACGTACAACTTTAACATACATGCACATAGTCTATACTATATATATTATCACTAACTGTTTACGGGACAGTTCATTCAGTGTCAAAGTAGCGTATTACCCATGTTCATTTTTTGTCAAATTACTTCGATTAATCACCAAAAGACGAACCTCGTTGATCCTTAGCTCTTCGATTAATAGACTATAATCTAAGAACAACTGATCTCAACGGTGCGTCAGTGCGGAGACATAGTTATACTGCAGGACACGCGACTTGTCCTTTTGTGTTTGGTAGCCTTCACGGGTCTATCGTAGATGAGTCCCTGACACAGCATCCCGCTGTTTGCTTCTCATTCGCCGACTTCGTTGAGTGATGTAACAGAAGGGACCGGGACGCATGTGCCCATATGCGAATGACAGCAACAGCTAGCGACGACCTTGAATTTAAGGAAGTACCTAAATGTCTCGTAAACCGGTTAGTTCTCAGACGGCGAGAGAACCAGTCCGCATTGCAGGCGCCTGAATAGTGTCACAAAACGATCAAGCTTTACGGTGTCAGTCTGCAGGAAGGTGCTTTGATGACTAGGTACATATCAACGCTGGCTGCAGAAAAGAGCGTATGTAGTCCATATATAGTCGATCGAAAGGTAAGCAGCGATACAAGCCAACTTCCGGCGAACAAGCCCTAAATATCGTCGCATAAAATCTCACGGAACCGTTCAGATCCAATTAGTCGCTACTAATAACGCGGTCCATGGCACTTTGAAGAACAGAAAACGTTCCCAAAAAACATACGTATACGTATCATCGGTGACTGCATGAAACGACACTAAGCCAAAACGAGTCAAAGTCATGTTTCTAGCGTTATTCAATTACTTGGGAATTAAGTGGGGCGAGTGAGCTTTACTTAATGTATCGATTTGTTTGTCGAAGCAATCTAACTGCTTTAAGTTAAAGGTCGAAGCTAAGTTGTCTTTTTTTTAGCGCGGGGTGTTCAAGAAAACTATTAGAAAATGATTTTACACAAAAAAAAATTTAGCATCGTGATCGAACTGGCTTGATCAGCTAAGGGAAGGGCAAACTTTTACGTTTACGAGATTGATAATGGATTATTCATGGTCTACGGTAAAATGATAACTAGCTCTCTATCTCGTCTGAATGAAGAAGCAACGATGACTTCCCTTTTTCCGACTAATCGAATACGTTTACTCTAATGGGTCCCTGGGCGACGTTTAGTAACTTATCGCGTGCAGATCATACAGTGTTTCACAGTGTTAGGCTATTTAAGATACAGCCTATTGTGACTGGTGCAAATTAGCTCGAGGATTTACTGATCGTCTTCGGTCTTGCTCTACAATTGCTAAATACCGGCATTTCAGTCTTCTAGTCAACGTTTTGACTTCCAGCCCAGTACGTTGACATTATACATTAATCATTAACTTTCAGCTAAAACACCACCTAAACTTACATTAGGATCTTTCAGTCGGATCGTGTATAGTTGTTGCGGTAGATCTGTCTATGGTAGATTCACAAATTGTCGAAGCTGTTATTAAGAATCACCTACATCCAACGCACAGCCGTGTGCTCTGTAGCACAATAGTAACATTAAATATTTTAGCTAACATCGATAAAATCTGATGCAATACAGGATTTTGGTCTGACCGAAATACCTTTTGAAAAGAATTCCAGGAAACCACAATATCATTGCCGACAATACAGGAAGAAACCAAAGTTCGCTAGACGTGAGAGTCGCGCGACATTGATCCTCACGTATGATGCGTATGGTGATCTTTTGGCTGAACGAATCTGACGACGGCTTTACTAATTACTAAAACAAACAATAGTAGCTCGCTAGACAAGGCAAAAGCGATACACGATATTCCCCTTGACTAACGTTTTTCTTGTGATGTCTTTGTTAGTAAAGCTTAATCCTTTCACTGCCTTCTATTTCGTATATATTCCTTGCAGTCACTTGTTCCCAAGCTCATCCGCTAAAAAAATAACCATCGACGCCAAAACCCAAATAAACCATTGGTAGTATTTAAATATATCTACATTCTCTAGGGACAGTTCTGTGAGTCGAAATGAAAACATAACCGTACTTCTGCTGTGTAGATTGATATTTACGTAATGTAATTACCATTGGTGTTATCAATCGGTTTAGATTCTAATGATGTAAATTTCCCGTTTCATTTCTATTGTCTTATCGCATCTTCTACGCGTCATCGCATCCTGCCTAGCTGGTTTCATGCTGTTTCGTAAAGATCAGGAAACCATTTGGCGTATGTCGCGGCGCCGCAAATAAGATGGGAATACATCAACTATAAAGATAGGCTAGCACAGATATCCTTTAGAACAGTCCGACGCTTCCGGTCCACTGTTGATGCCGGGTTTCTGTTATCAAATGTGAGCTTACGGCAGTCTGGATCGGCCCTAAAAACTTCAGGAGATATACTTCATGATGCCGCTGTCCTTCTTTTCCCTTGTCCTTGGAGTTCTTCTAGCAGAATTTCAGTCGGATCTACACCAAAACGTAACGTTAACCTCGAAAGCATGATACACTTCTCAAAGGGACTGCATCTCACATAGAGCAAACAAGAGACAACAATAGCGGACGCTACTGACAACAGTAGCTAGTTAAAAGCATCAAACATACGCATAAACCTCTATACACAAACGTTCTATGAACCTATTGCGACTAGATGATCGACAACAGCGAGCAAAAACTGAAAGCCACCTTTAGAAACCTATAATATCAACCGCTAGCAGAATTCAATCGATAATCTATACACTTAAATTTCTCCCATCTACCGTCATTATTAGTTAAGCGGATGCAGATGCTGGAACATTCTGTAAGCGTAACTCGAACTTAGGCAGCAAGCTGGAAAAGTCAACGCTTCAAAGCATGCATATAGTTACCTACAACTAATCAAGCAGGCCGAATCAAAGCTAAAGCTAACGATCCTAGATCAATGCACGTACAATCTGCACAATTTCCACACCGGATGACAGCTCATTCCGAACCTTTAGCGGGACCCAACGCAGGTTGCCATAAGTAGCTTGAGGAGATATAACCGTGTGGTCATTTACACAAGCGATGTGCGCCGGTCGGTACGTGATTAGAATCAATACGAGTGTTCTGTGCGGTTCCGCTACACAACTGATCACCTTTTTATTGAGGACCTATCCGAACTAGTTCGGACTCATGGCTGTTTACTATTCTACTGAGGCTAGCACAAACCAAGCGAGATAGACGATGCTGATACGTCCACACAAAATTCCTCCCATGGATCATAGCACACTCTTCTAGCACCTGTCTACACCTCCTACGATACTTACGATGGACGAGGGCGCTGGCAGCCCGAAATAAATAGTTCTTCTCGCTTTCACAATCACTATAAAAGATAGGACGAATGAACAAGTCGAGGAGAACGGTAGACAGGCCGCACAACGACTTCATCAGACGATCTTCACTCCTCTGCACTGTTTCATTGAACGGTGCGTGCAAACAATAGCATTGAGCGGTTAAGTGACAACTTCATCGGTATTTTTTTGTAGAAAGATGTCCACCTTTATTGACGACGACTTTGTTCGCAACGTAAATGTTGATCCTCGCTTATATTTTGCTTTTCTTTCCCGTTCTCCAGTCCGTTATTATTAACAGAATTGCTATCCTCCTCCTCCTCCTCCTCCTCCTCCTCCTCTTCCCCCCTCACGTCATCAGCATTAGCAGCAGCATCGTCGTCATGATGATCATCATCGGGCGCAAACATTTGATGAATCAGTATCGCTCAGCTGAGTGTGCATTCGGAAGAGGTTCGTCATGTCCCTTGCCATCTAAGCATGTATCCGTCGTCTAATCTCTCGATTTACTGTATACGTGTTTCGACATTTTGATACAATAGGTAATCGAAAATTGTTCATCTCTTATTTCACGGTGGCTGGATTGCTCTGTGTATGAAAGCGAACCTCCATTGCCTGACTTGGCTGAACATTTCGTATTCACTATTCGAAGCTGAGCCGCTCGCTGCCCAGATCAATTCTACACACGTTCTATATTTTTTTCGATGTTATGATTCGTTCATAGTCGTGTAACACCTCTAGGCGCTTTTAATTCTTCGAAATGTTCTCTGTTGGCTAATTGTATCCTCGTTGATGTTTAAAATGACCTTCAACGCCTACACCGTGCCGTTTGTTTATTGCATCATGGATTTTTATAAGTATTACTGGTTTACAAGAGACGAAATCATTGAATCATAATTATATAATGACCACATAATAGTAATAATCGAATAATAAGAAACCTATTACCGTTGATTTAAACGAACATATGTAGTTGTGGTGGTGTATAAATTGGTCTGATTGGTTATAAATATATAATTAGATTGACGAGGTCTGCAAAGCTGTGGTCACCACCATGAACTAACTGAGCCTTTCCTTTGCGCGCCTACTTCAATGTTTACAGCACAGATGGTGATCGTTCGCTTGGAACGTTTGGAACGACTTTCTCCCGACTCCATCTCGTTTGTAGTTTTTTTGCATTGTTCTCCCACTGGCTCCAGTTCCATCTTGAAAATAAATCTATGTTTGATTTCTGGATCGGGCACCGTCATGATCGTCTTCCGGTGTGATATATATATATATATATATATATATATATATATATGAGAGAGAGAGAGAGAGAGAGAGAGAGAGATTTGTATATAGCATTTTTATGATTTCTGTATGAAGTTTTCGTACTTATACACTTGTATATATATATATATATATAATTATGTATGTTAAATTGGTATGTGTTTTGTATTCGGAATTGTTTCCGCTAGTTGCTTTTTGTTATAGATAAGCATATATTTATGTATGCTTATGTTGTATTTGTCTGTCAAAGCTGTTCCACAGACACATGATTTGCCCTTCAGGCAATAAAAGCAAGTCGAGAATGAAACAGTGCAGCGCCTTCTAGTATTTTTTTTTTCGATTATGTAAGAATAATTGTATTTCTTGTTTGTATGTATTTTTACCGATATAATATTATGGTCTTCGAAATAATCATTATTATTAACTCAGTTCAGTCATAATTGTGTCGTTCTTTTTCTATGTACAAAAATACTTTTTTCCTCATCTGCCGTTGCGTCTGTCGTTTACCTGGTCGATTATAGTGTTGCCTTAATCTAATTCTCTTCACTCGTAATTGAACGCATTGCTGCTGACATTTTTAGTATCGCATAATCCAGACAATATCCGTTCCCTTGGCTCGTGAAACGCCCAGCACGCTAAAACGAGCCATCGCAGATCCGTGTCCTGATCAGTGAGCAGATCGGAACTGACGGAACTATTCGAATGCGAAGGTCAATCAGTTACGAATTAGTAAGAGGAAATTAACTTTTCACGGACTCCATTCCATGAATTAAGCCAGCATCATTAACTGCGGCAGCCGGCTTTTCAATAACCCCACGCGTATTTAGGGGGTTGATTTTATCAAGCACCGTTTTCGTTTGTTCTTGCTATCGTTGTGTTAGCGGTTCTCGCATATTCTATTTACCTAAACAATATGTTATACAAGTACTAATTGATAGTGTATAGTTAAAATTGTTTGCAACATCTTTGATGAATAACATAACCATTGCACCAAGAACGCAAACATAACCCGACTACGATTTCACCTACAATAATGCTTCCTCTTGTCCTGCTAAGTAAGGCCAAACGCTATAATTAGCGCACACCATTTTTGTCATCGTTGTCGTAGTTACTATCAATCACCCATCATTACCATCGTAATCACGAAAAAAAGCTTGCGCTCGTCTTTGAGCTTCAGTCCGAAACGAATATTTCTACCTTACCTTCACCCTACTCGGAGCTGTTCCGAAGTGTCTTATACCTCAGGCATAATAGTAATGACCATGTCTAATAGAGATTTTCCTATAGCTTTGCTTGACTGTTGTTACACAAAACCAGCACCACAGATTTGTCATTGAAGAAGCACAGGACAGTGGTTAGTAGGGCACAGGGAAACGCTAGCACACACGTCAGTAGCGTTCTACATTACAGACTTTAGGTCAATGTTGGCTATAGCGCTCATCTGGAAGCGATTGCTTTCACATTTAATCACCTACATAATAATGATTAGTAATCGGACATCAGCGGTAATTACACTTGGTTAATGCTTTGCGTTGCTACGGATTTTTTCGGCACCTACAAATATCAGGACAAAATTGACGCGTCATTACAAGCAACAGACAATTTAGCCGACGTATGGTGTTGAGCCGACATTTCTCATATAGATCGATCGTCCCTTAACGCCAAGAGGATCTCGGTACCGATTTGATTCTAAAGAAGCGAGGAAATGCGACCAACGACTCAGCAGGATGTGCAGCGTTCCGAAGCTCTACACACGACCTTTGGTCACCTCAAGTCGCATTAACGCATACTAGTAGAGCTCAAATGGCAGTAGGAACGGTTCTGTTCGGATTAGGCAATAATTTTCGCGGAAACGTTTTTCATGGGCATGTATCGAAGGTTTGTGAAGATTAAAAACATCGGATCTATTATGCTTGCCTGTAGGTGCTTCAACTCGGTGTTTTTTTTTCGTTTTCTATCTACTTTTGGTGCGAATAAAAAACAATAATATTATTAACTTCATCGAACTGGGGAAGCTCCGTTCCGAACAGACTCCCACTTAAGGTCAGTCCTACAACAGCACGAAGTGCCAGATCTGATCTGACGCAGATGGCCCACGCTGTTGTTTCTCTGTTGTTCAGACAGCATGTACAATGTATGTTCTTTTCACTCTGATTACTCACGGTCAAACTATAAAACAGAAGAGAAATCGAACGAACATTAATGGTATGTATGTGCGTAGCATTTAAGCAACCATACTGTTAATTGTTCAACTCGTCCAACGAACGTAATTTTCCCTGGCTTGATTGTAAAATTATTTTACAATATAGATATTTAAAATTGATCAATATTTATTATAAAACTTTCTGTTCACATTTCGTTTTATTTATCTGTAAATTGCTAAATCTTTCTTTGCTTGGTGTTTTTCCAACCAGCTATTGCAGTCGATCTATTAACGGCCCCTTTGGTAACCATTTATGCAAAACAGGCGTTTCTCAAAAGGACTCACCGAATACGTGCTCAGAATTTACAAACAGATCCAATATAACGTGAAGACTGTCACACGGTCGGGATCCGACTTCAGTTAATCACAATAATGGTGTTAATACGGAGGCAATATTTTTCGTAAAACGCGTTGAAAAACCGAATTACATTAACACTCTATGTTAGAAAAAAGTCTACACGATCCCGTATGCGGGCTGCTTCTGTTGTGACGGTAAGCAGAACGCAAGAATATTCAGGTTGACTTTGTCGGCCGACCTCTGTGTCGTATGTCGTATGTCTTGGCATCTGCCGAGGCATAAGACATAGTAGTTCAAAAGGAAATGGCCTGATTTCTATTGCACGTTTTAAAGGTATCCACGTGAATCAACTTATATGTTAGGTGTTATCTGTAGATGGTGGTGGTGGGGTCGACAGTAGCCAGCTGGAACCGTTTTACCAAACGTCGCAAATCTCAACACATCTAAGAATTTTAAGATATACCCACGATTAATTATGAGTGAGGGTGAAGGGTCGAAGGCAGAAAGGCTTTTTAGATTAACCGTCTTATCATTGAAGATCACCGTCATTGCCGTAATAAACATGGTTAACATAATCCTACCATTAGCATAATTATCATCATATTGTTGTTTGTTGCCTAGGATGAGAGGTCCACTTGTGCGTCTGCCTGGAACAGCAGCGGTTAACGCAGCTGCAGTCATTATGTTTTTCCCGCTTTTCCATTCGTTTACTGTATAGCTATTCTTTGTCCAGTATTTCCGTTGTTACTTACTCTCGATTCCGACCTCTTCCAGCTATAGAGTTCTAACCATTGGTTTTTTCGCATTAATTTTTGTCCAATTTTTGATGGGAATGAACTCATCGCCATTATTTTCTGTTGTTAAACGTTTTCGCCTATGCCTGCTGGTGTGCATTTGTATTTTCATTGTCCGTTAATAGCTCCATGAAGCCTCTTTTGTTACATTTTTTTTTTCTTTGTGTTCTATTCCTGTGCGATTAATCGCGTTTATCTTATCGAATCTTCTCACGTTGCTTGGCTTATTGGCCTTTCTGCTTGTGATAGTCTCGTCTCTATTGGCCTTATCTCACCTTCTTGGCCCTCTTCTTTTTGGCCTTCTTCTTGGTCTTATCCGCATCTCCGGCATCAATCTCACCCTCCTGCGTCAGCCACCGCCGTCGTCGTTGTCGTTGTCGCCACGAACGAACGACGAACGGGCGAGCGGGCGGGCGGGCGGGTGGGTGGGTGGGTGGGCGGGCGGTCGATGAGCGCGTCGAGAGACAAAAGAACAACAAACAGCAGGAGAAACAAAGAAAAACAATACGAAAACAGCAGCGATACGTCAAGCGTTAGTTGAGCATTAATTAGAGGCCAACGAGCAAGAACAAATGGACAAACACAGACACCAGCGATGTAGGTAGACTGAAATTGGTTAGGGGACAAGGGATGAGACGGGATATACACGATTAAGATCGGTGGCTGGCTGTATGTCACGGAAACACGGCCCCCAACGAACGCGTTAGCGACACTCAACGGCGCTCAACAATGGAGCTCACACAGTAGTGCAGCTACTCGACAGTGATATCAGGAGTGGAACTACGTTTACGTACGACTGTGTTAAGCAGACACTACACGCAAATTACGAATCCAATAGCATTTGATGAGGAGCAAACTAGGTGACCACCGACTGGGGACATTTTCAGTGTAGGTTCTAAATAATTGACCAACAATGTAATAGACGTTTTTACAGGAAAAGGTAAAATTCTAGGCTAGGATCAGTAAGAGGCCTAACTATAACCTGGTTAGGACAATGTCATAACCGAGTTACAGTTATGACTCTTTTAGGCAGAGACAGGAGCTTACACGTAGCAGGTTGACCGGAAGTCATTTCAGTTGGGTTAGACTAGGCTAAGTGTTGAAAGAGACAACATTTCGATTGATTGTACACCTTCGAGAGCAATACGTGTTACTGTCTCAGATCTACAAAAATGGTATCAAGCAAAGTCCTACGTTGAGTAATGCAAAAATAAGCAGTTACGTGCCACCCTAGTTCGGCTCACCATTGCTATAGGTGAAAAGGAAAGCTAGCAGATGTGTTATGTTCCTGTTTTGTTGAAAAAAGGGCTGCAATTGTTTTCGACACTTTTCTCACACACACAACGCTCAGGCTACATGTATTTCTACATGCGTTCCTTGTGACGTTCACCCAATCTAGTCACTGACTATAATACAAGCTCCTTTTGCATTCACATTGCTCGTAATTCTTTTTTTGTTCGGCGTTTATCTACAGCCATGCCGTATTATCATTGGTTGGTTAGAACTGATATGCGACGCTCATGCACGATGCAGTAATATATACGACACAGAATCAAAAGGTCATTGACAGGTTGATTGATGAATAGGTAATTACAGATTAAACAAGTCCTTTTTTCATCTTTCTTTAATTAACCGACAAGTTCATCGTACCGATCGCACAAGGGTCAAAATGTTGCGCTCATCAGCCTCTGTTGCTCATCATTACCTCACCATCAACCAGTCGATCAATTAGCTAGAGCACGAATAATGAGCACATCGATTGTCTACTTGTATTTCGCGAACGAGCCGCAATTACATTCTCTTATAATTTCTAGGATCGCTAGCAGTACTAGTGCGGTTGTTCTCGGTATCAAGGACCACCCAATCGCTGCTGGCCAGTGATTGTTCACTACCCCCTAGCTCGGGGGAGCTCGGGGTCGAAGGCGACCCAGCAGCAGATGATGGAGCCGAATATGCATACGTTGGTGAAACGTTACCCTTACCATAGCGGCCTGGTTTGGGAAACATTTCAAGGTCATCACTCACCCCATCGTGGCCTGCGCCTCCGCCATTGGCCTGGCCGGAACCACAACTATGCGTCGGTGACGGAGACGAATCCTCTGAGCCGTTTTGTTGTGCTGGTTGCACCGCGGGCTGCTCTCGTTGCGGTGGCGATTGGCCATTCGGTTGTTGGGCTACAGCCTCGTCTGGCTGAGCCGCAAATGATGTCGCTGTTTGGATAGAAGTTGCCGCGGCTGGCGCTGGGTGTCCAGCGAACGTCGAGGTTACCTGACCGATGGAGGAGTTATCAGACTCAGGTGACGCCGATTCAGGTTGAACTGCCGCAATACTAGGAGACTGTGCAGACTTAGCTGTCGTATCTTGGGCCGCTCGGTCAGCAACGGCCGCCAGTTGTTTGTTAGCCTTATCCTGCAGCCGCCGTTCGGGGGTTGAGGTAGGTTAAAGCACGCGCAGAGGATCGAGGTGTGAGTTGCGATAGAGAGGAGTAGAAATAAGGACGCGGTGATAAAACAGCAACAAACGAAAACACAATAAAGAAGATAAACAAGGAGCACAGCGCGAAGTAGATGCGAATAGATAGAAAGATACTAACATTATGTAAAAATGTTTGACAGAAGTGGTTGCTGCTTAGCGTGTTAGATTTAGTTCATAGATACGCAGATGATCGTTGATAATTAATATCAGTAATAATAAATGAAGTAGTGAACACGTGTGTATGTGTGCATGTCGCAGTCCTGACAATGATATGGCAAAACCGCAGTGATCAGGTCACTAGTTAGTGATTCCCTGATGCCAAGCCGCCTTGGCTGCAAGGCACTTTGTCACTATTACTATCATTACTAGAATCATCAGTAGGACAATATATGGCGAATATATTGAATACAACGACAAATGAAGTTTGCTTTCTAAAATGCGCCCGTGCCTTTGCTCATTTGTTGTTGGTACCGAAAAGCATAGAAGAGCGGGAGCTGAAGTGTAGGAAAATTTATTCAAGTAGTCAATGACCGGGGAAATCATTGGCTTTGGGCGTTACCTGCACCAGAGTTGGATAATCGAATAACCCATCCTAGCAGCATGCAAAGAGTCAAGCATTTAAGATGCAATTTCTATAATAAGCTTCCCATATATATGAAGATACGCAAACCAAACATTTTGCCCCACTCTACTGTTTGCCTTTCTGTGGTCGCTGGTCAGGTCTGTTGACACGATAACAGAAAGCGTATATTCATCCTATCTCATAGCCCCAACACGATGCCTGTATGAGTCTATACGTAGTAGGTATCCCGCAATTCGTTTCCCTTCCATCGATATATTGCATGTTCGTTTCGTCATCTGCAGTGGTTGTATAGTTTGCGTGCGTTTATATATTCTAATCACAAAAATGCTGATCTGCTTCAAATCGTAGTGACTGCGTGGAATCAAAGGTCTTCGTTTATGACTGTTTTGCTGATGTCTTCTTTCTGGTTGCGTTACCACCGTATCTAGAAGCACTGTTAGCTGGTGTTCCACTCACAAGGTCTGCACGGCAACTGTTCAGCTGTATTTGAGCATTGCTTTTCTCGACTTCAGCGTACTCTAGTTGCTCCTGGAGTTCCTTTAGTTTCAGTTCGAGCTCACGTACAACGGCACTCATCTCCGATCGTTCTGTTTCAAAGCGGGCACGGTCCTATTTGACAGGAAAAGAAATCTGTAGGCTAAACCGCTTTGATGCGTTGCGTTTAAATATATATATATATATATATATATATATATATATATATAATAATTTAAAAATTTATATATATATATATATAGTATAAAGGTAAACAAAAAATCTGGCCAAAATTTTGTGTGTTTCATGTTTACCTCGGCCCAACGCTTTTCTTCGCCTTCGACCGAGTCTTGAAGATTCTGAAGAATCTTTTCGGTTTTCGATAAAACGCTGGAATAATGTGCGTTTTCGGCGCGCAGTCTGACGCTTTCCTCTCGTAGCGAATCAAGCTGCAACAAGCGAAAATACAGTTCTTATTACTATAACAGGGTTTTCTTTCGATTGCATAATTATGATTTTTTTTTTACCATGATGCCCATTTTGACCTAATTAGCGTACCATCACATACTGTATATATGCACTGCATGCAATCAAATCTCGAAAGCGTAAAGCGTTGCTAAACGTGATAGGCCAAGTTCGCCCGGTGGCTTCTAACACGGCGTGAATCTCATTCATGCTACGTGCGCGGCTTTCGTTAACGACAGCAATCAACATACCTCCTCCGAGTTCTCTTTCGATAGTAGCGCAACGTGCGCTTGTACTTCCTGTCGTGCGGCAGCCACAGCGGCGTCCTTGGCGGCAGTAACTTCTTGCAATTCAGCTTCAACAGTGGCATGGCTTCGGCGTAGCGACTCGATTTCAGCCTTGACCTTATCTGTCTCATCGGCGAGAATAGTAAGTTGAGCTACGAATAGAGAAACAAAATTTTCACCATCTATATCTTTTATGGAAGTCTGGGCCGATTTCGGCAGTCCTTCCAAAAGCGATTTCCTCTCTTTGCTTTGTTCGGCGTGTAAATCACGGTACTTCTGTTCGACCTCGTTCATCGCTTCAACAGTGGCCCAGTTTTTTTCATTCAATTGGTTGTTGCGAGTTCTGAGCTGTTCAAGTTCGTCCTTAAGCTTGGTCGTCTGCTGGACCAAACGATCCATAGCGCCCGAGCTCGCCTCCTGAGCGCCCCGAGCGGCAGCAATCTCTTTTTTCGATTGGTCCAACTGCGTCTGCGTGTCCCGTAGGGTCTGCTGAAGTTTAGCTACTTCCGCCTCTGTCTGTTTCAGTCGGCCCTCAAACTGTCTTTTTTCGACGTCAAGCTGATCGGAGCTCGATTTACGAATCTGCAATAAGTGGTAAGTTTAAATGCAGATTCACTTCAGAGTTTGAATTTAGTTGAAGTTGGAAAAACTGCAGTTATTTTACGGCGAAAACTTACTTACCTGAAATTTAGGCTTAGGTGAAAAAAAAGGTACACTTACATAAATATGTGTACCTTTAGTAGTATCTATGATATGATACCTATGATACTATCTATGTATATGTCATCAAGTTCCGTGAGTACCTTCTCAAGTTCTGCGCGCGTTTGATCCAGTTCTAACCTGGTTTTCTCCAACTCCTTACGAGTCTGCTCCATCTCTGCGGTGGCATTCTGCGACAAAGCTTCTTTCTCCGATGTGGCGATTTCCTTTTCTCTGTAATCGAACAACCCGTATAGTGTAGCACCCGACAGAAAAGGGTAAAAACAAGTCGTTCGTGAGTCTCTCCCCAGCCTCATACAATCATAGCATAGTAAACAAACACTTGCGTGGGAAGAAACACCACTAAATCAACAAGATGCTTCGGTTTGCAGTAAGAATTGCAGTAGCAGACTATTAGAGGACATCGAAACCAAACGTTTGGAACGGCAGCATGGACAGAAGTTATACATTTTCAAGAAAAAAATAGCTTACCCAATGCCGTACACAACAGATCATACTGAAAAAGTCGATCTGATATCTGTTTGTTTACTAGCCCAAGGTTTACTGCTGCAGATAGTAAGGATTTCAGTATAACGATCGAGTGGGTCCTAATCACCTTCGGAATAGACATTCATATACGCCTTCGAGAATGGTTCTGTCACTGTCAAAATGGTTCTAAATATAATAAGACAGGAGCTTTGAAACCTTCCTGACTTTCTATGAATAATTTGATTCAATCCTATATAAAGTGGCTTGGAAGAAAATGTGACTCGATCCACCTGAGCGTGAAGATCAAATAGCGCTTAATCTTTTCAACGTACAGGCAATCAATCACTGCTGAGTTTGACGGGTAGAATCACTACCCGTCAAACTCAGCGGTAATTAAATTAATAGGCCTTAAAACTTTTCACTAACATTCCCTTCTTGGCTCTCATAGTTACCGCGTGAAGAATGGACCAGCCAATCGACGCTAATGAAACCATTTCGCGAAGGCTGTAAGCAGGGCTTGGTAGTTAGATAGTTCGAAAAGCTTGCCGCTAGCTTAAACAGTAGGAGACCTCTTAACGAAATAGCTCACCAAAGGTAATGTTATTTTCACCAAGAACTAAGCTATCTAATTTTCGATACGTCAAGAAAACAACCGACATCTTCGATGAACACAAATCTTCGTAACCATCGATTACTCTTTTATGGATATAACCTTTCGAGTCAAAATATACACAACTTACCAATCATACGGAGATAATACAATATATTTACTTTAAATTATAGACACTAAATAACGTGTTGGACCTAAATTACGGTGCATTTAGACATGGAGCGTCCCACTCGAGAAACATAGTAATAAAAACGTGATAAGCTTGGAACTATTGGCCGATGTGTTAAACGTGATCGAAATAAACATATAGAGCGCAGCATGCGTAACTTCCGACATACCTTTTAATAGTAGCTTGGAGCTCATTATTTCTTGCTTCAAGGCTGTGTATCCTGGATCTTAGCTGATCAACGGCTCCCTGTGTTTCTCGTAATTGATCCTCAACACGCATGGCCCTCTGGGTTTCAGCGTTAAAACGGGCCGCTTCTTCCCTGACTTTGTTCTCAGCGGCTAATAGAGCACCTTGCGTTTGGCTACATCTACGCGAGGCAAAAGTACGAAGTTACTGTTAGAAACGGGACTTAAACAGTTGGATCATAAAAATCCATTGAAAATTTTTTAATCCCAAGACACATAGATTATGTCATTGCTTCAATGTTATTTGCAATATAAAATATAGGGTAAACGTAACCTGGTTTTCCAGTGAGCCATTTCGGCATGAATTTCTTTTCCTCGGGCCAACGAATTGTTAAGCTGCTCGCTTAAATGTACAACCTGGTCTTCCTTTTCTTGGAGATTTCGTTTAAGTTGTTGCATTGGATCCTGGCGAGTGCTTCGCCATTCCTTCGAGTCGTTCTGGTGATTCAACAAGGCGTCCACGAGGTGCTGCAATTCGAAGACAACAGTGTATTACGACTAAATTTGTTTTTAATTATCCGACCATGACCGGAGATATTGCCAAATAAGGTAGTTACAGGTTCGCGGTTGCGTTTTCTAGGAAACTCGTTCATACTCAGATATTATACATACATGTATTTTCGGGCACAATCTCTGGACTCCAGACCTTGCAGACACAGTTCACAAGTGCTGATGTTACCTGAATCGTATCCTCGCCCATATCCGGCGGCAGCTCGTTTTGCTCGATTTGGTTGATGAGCTCGCGCAGTTCTTTCTTCGAGAATACTTTACGCTCTTTCCGTCCGCCAGAAGCCTCGTGCTGTGGAGAGCATTTTTTAACAGTAGCGGGCGAGACTACAGTTGTTCCACCGGATAACCCGCACACACTTTCTACGTTTTCCTTTTTAGTGGCACCCTGGCTCAATTGCTGCTCTTTTGATGTCTGTTGTTGCTGCTCCTTCTTTTTGGGACTAGCCACTGTCTGAGGAACTTTATCTTCTTTAATGAGTTTCTCGTCCTTCTGTTCCTTCGCCTCCTTGCTCGAGGCTTTTGAAGACAAACTTTTTGCAGGTGACTGCTGCTTCTTGTGATGCAACTCAACCTATTAAAATGATTGTCATTAGCGAAGACCTTCTCAATGATACAATAAAAAAAAACATCATTATTTTACTTTTTTGGTGCACAGCTCGTTCGATTCTTGTTTGTAGAGTTTCTCGTTTGTTGCAGAAATTAATCAAATGACAAAGTGGCAAGTTAAATATCACTTTCATCGGAAGGAGGTGTATGCAGCATATCACTAGTCAGGCAAAGACATTAACTTCACGTGTTCAGCGATGCGCCTTCATTCGGAAAACGCATGAATAATGGGCACATAATCCCTTCACCAAAAGCAGATTAATAATGCATTAATATTCATTATTCAAAGCGATCGTTTCCGAAGTCATCAATGAAGAGCCTATACAATTAAGAAGTAGAGCGCCGGACAATATTGCCGTGATTTATGTTCTATCCGAGCCATCATCCAGTCGCATTTGAGATACAAAGAGGACAACTCCTTACACAAATACACTGCGGCCCATATGGAAAACTAACTGAAAGGCTCACAGCAAACAAGCAGATCGATAGTTCCTTTCTACAGTCGGCGGAAATTTCAAAACACATCACAAAGGTTCGTATAAAAACACATGATCATCGATGTCATGCCGAGTTCATCAATCTAGCGCAGTATGTGAGTCTATTTAGGGCCAAAATAGAATACGGACGAAACGAATTAAATTGATGAAACCGTTAGAAATGGTGGCCCTCCCTGAACAAGAACTCATTCCGCTTGAGCGGCTGATTTTTAGCTGGATTTTCAGCCTATCGATGCGCTATCAAGACATCAATTTAGAGAGTGTACTTTATCGCAATGGTTTTTGTAGTCAATTGGCTACAAGTGTTTGTGGCTGGTACGGAGTTACGCGACGCCGCGCGGAACCACAATACCGAGAGGCACAGAGTCACCCACCTCGTCCATGGGCCTGAGATCCTTGAACGAATTAGACCTGACGAACGGCACTCTGCTGGTGACTGTGACATCGTTCGACGTCGTCGTCTCTCCTGCGGCCGAAATCGACACTTCCGAATGCACGAGGATGGGTCTACCGGGCTGTCGATTGCTCGCTAAAACTTTACCAGGTTCCACCTAGTCCAGTGACATGGTGTTACGGATGATGACGGGCAAAATTATTCCGGGATAGATCAAGACAGGAGGAAAGCATTATGGGAAATGGAAAGAAGTCAGTGGCAGAAAGACAGACAGGTCAGTGAGATGATACACGATCGAGCAGTCACATAGCACGGCCTGCTATGCAACCAGCAACAGTCACCGATAAGGACGGCGGTAGGCACACAGAAGGACAATAGCATCGTCTTGAAAATCAACAAGCACACTCAAAATTTGTTACATAGGCAATAAATGCTGCGCGATCAGTTCGTCACGTGGGATAGCGAAATAACACATCATGAACCTCTAGCAAATAGAAGATCTGCCCTAAAGCTGAAGTTCTAACTGGCAAAATACACACCTACGCAAAGACCTACATTCAAGCAGCAGTGAACACTGCCTCATGGCAGTTATGACAAACCTTTCTTCCCTTTCAGTTGGTACGAAAACAATTTTTCTAAACAGGTGAATATATACAATTATAGTTTCTAGAAACAGCGAAGTAAAACTGCCAAAAATCTTTTTGCACAAAATCCACTACGAAGTGACCTATTGACTTACTGACGTTCCGCATAGGTTACGTAGTCAACTAGAATATATGCTTTCGCTTCAAGCTAAAAGTGTAATTTGCACTTCAGCCCTATGATTCATGCACTTCGCGCTGTCCTCATGCGTGACTCAGGTCGCCTCATCGTTTATGTATTAAATATCAATTTGCGACTGTTGCATGTTTTGCCATGCACAACTTCTGTTGCGTTCCATTACTGGTCGCTAAGCCTAGTTATTCACTAGGGTAACCAGTGGGTAAAAACTTACGACCCAATAATCGTACGACTGTACGTCACGACATGTTGTTTTGGCGCGTACCTTTGGTGGCTGATCAAGCTCGACGAGTTTCACGTCCTCTTTCTCAGCAAAATCCACGTGTTCATGATGGTGATGAGAATGGTGCTGTTTCAAGCCAGCTACACCGCTGGGTGTAGCTGCGCCCAGCGCAGAGTCCTTGGCTGTTTGAGTGCGAACATTTATCGCAGGATTTGGGACGGAGCTGTCGATCTTATCTTCGATTGCGGTCTCCGAACCCGTCGAAGTGGCCGTCGGAGAGGCCGTGGCACTTGCCTGAGTCGGCGTTGCCGATCGGTCCTTTTTCTCCTTGGCTTTATCCTTGTTTCGCTTAGTTGGTTTGTCTTTCCTTTTTTGTTTCGGCTCATCCATGGCCTGTAATTGTTTTTTGACACAGTAAACAAAAATGTTAGCGCCTAATAGGATTTCGTCCACGTATCAAACAAGGCTGTTTTAACGAACATAATAACAGAACTAAAACCGAATCCTCTTCACCATAGACGGATTCTACGTTCATATAGTATTTGCCTTGGTATAGTATGCAATCACTTAGTTCTCTCAGACTCCCACTAGACCTCATTTTTTTTAACATCCCTTGAATTTGTTTTAGCCTGCCATGGAATTACGTGTGAGCACCATGAACACTGCCACCATGAAAGCGAGTCCCTTCCTTAACATCAAGGACAGCGGATCCATTTAGAGGAAATGAATTATCTAGAACAAAGAAAATCCCTCCGTTCAACATACCAAAGACGAAAAGAAAGACCCAGTACCCTTACATATAGAACAGTTTCAAATACTCTACGTCCACAAAACCAGGCGACAGCACAGTCATTCACTGATTTGGTCTCCAGTTCCCTCCTTAGGACACCTCTCGTATTTCTGCTTTATACCCACCATTAGTTGTTCACGCTGTTTTCGAAACACTTCCTCGTAGTTGGTTCCAGGACTCATGCGGAAGACCAAGAACATAACTCCGGCGAGGACGGATGCAACCGCTACGGCCAGAACCCCTACAGCCCCCGGCCCGTGGCCGAGTCCCACAAGCGACTCCATCCTGAATAAAAGTCTGATCTTCTCGATCTGACAGGTCACAGACACAAACACACACACACCTGTTTTCAAATGTGTACGACGCAGCCTTGTTCCACCTCCAGTCTGCCTCAGTCGCGGTTAAGGATTTCTAATGCACAACAATAATACAGTACTCCTGTTTTCGTAGCAGTTGGTTAGATCGACTCCGGAAAAGTTACGATAATCGTTTGAATTTTAGAGCTGTGTTGTGACTTGCAGGCGTGCGGCTTTCGTTAATAGACGGGGCCCATGAAGCAGTTTTGCCCAGCGAACTCGCCCAGGAACAGGCCGATGGGACTGGTTACAGATAGTTCCTGTTTTATCTAGCTGAACGTTTGTTGACCTGGTCGCTGATGGCGGCCACAGTGTCCAGGACGATCGTACCAGCCAGAACAGCAGTGAAAATAGAACGAAAAACTAATAAAAGCTAGAAAAACGTTTAAAAGCTATAATGCAGCCAGTACTGCCACATACGCTGAGATTAGGTCTGCTCTGCTTCTATTTCTGAAATACGATGAAGGGAAAGCAATAACAAAAAAAAGTAACGTATTACAAAATGGAACGCACCATAATAACATATCAATATACCTGTAATTCGAGGCTTGTAAAGAGCACAATCGATGCCTACACACATTTAAACAGCTTTTACGGAGCGAACAGACAAATAATAACATTCTTTGTAAACAGAGCCGACTGATGTTACTCGCGGCTGCGAGTCATTTTTCTTATTTGCGTATTTTCGTTCCGTATGTAGACGATGTCACCTCTCACGCCGCGGAAGCCATTCTGGTCGTTGGCGTTTACCACAACTGTATTGCCATATCGAGTAGTACTGATGGAGACTGTTTTCATTTTGCGAACAATAATAACACCAGCAACGAAACAATGCTACGAAGTAACATACAAATCTATACCGTAGGGTCGAATTATAGTAACGCTGCTAAATGCTAACAGATGACGTAATAAAGCTGCGAAAAAAAATGTGTGTTTAGCCGCTATGCTCAGCGGCGACTGGCTATCACCCGTATCTGTTCTACATGCTACAGTTCAGGTCATTCCAACACCTCAAGGATAGACATGTTCATGATTTCGTACGACTGACGAGGGTGGCGTACTTCACCAGAACCAGTGACTGTTTCACCCGATATAGCCCGCCCAGTTATATACTATAGCCAGTTGGCTTCGGTAAGCGCTACGGAACCCGATCCGTCGATGCAGAGTCATGTATCTCTTACTATTAAATGCTAGCGAATTACGCGCATGAGTCCAAGGCGTTCACCCTTTTCTGTCGATTACATTAGACGCACATAAGCGTTTGGCTAAAGAAGCCCGATCATGTTCCTCATTTCGCGGTACATTCACGCGATTTTTGTTCAGATCGCAGTACGCGGTTCCATTGCTATTGCATCAGAGTATTCTAGTGACTCGTTGTTTTCCGAACGTATCGAGTGCACTGCGGCTGGGTGTATTTCGTAGCTCAGATCCCGCGGGGTGAACTTCTCCAAGAACAAGATAAGCACTCTTTTCGTTATTTCACCTCTAATATCTTTTATACATGACCATAGGAGGAATTGTTACTACTGTTGAGTTTATTACTAGGTCGAAGATTGCAAATCCCTCAGGACCCGTTCGTAAGGCGCCTCCTGGACAAATAATACAAATACACATTTAACTAATCTACTAACCAAAAAGGAAAAGTTCCCGCCTCAGTCTGCTGAATCTGTACCTTTATTCTCGAGTTGACCTTTGCTATGGCACTAATATACAACATTACAACAATGACGGCAGTAGCAAATCTTCGAGTTAATTTGCCGTCAGTTCTTCGAACATGTGCGCGGATATCGATTTTCGAAGTTCATTTCGGTCAACGATTCAAGGGCGACCGCTGTGTCGAGGCCACTGTCCGGCGCTCAGCACGACAGCAACAGCTGTGGGGGTCGCACATGTGGAGTCAGACCACTTCCGGATTTACCGATTCCCGTCACTAGTTTCGGCCGTTCAGTATTAGTTGCGAACACTACTACGAGTAGTCGCTCATGGGGCACTGCTCGAATGGAGCAGCTACGTGACCTAAGACGGAGATGAAAACAGCTACGATGAGAAGAGCCTGACGATCGCGGCCTGTCGCAGACAGCAGCTTAACTTGGCCCGGTCCAGCTTAGCTTAGTCGCCTGGCCATGGACGCAGCCGCCGGCCCACGTCCTAGTGCGGATGCAAGTGTATCATATTGCTAGTACTTTATGCGCTTTTCATTAATGAAATTCGTAGATTTCGGGGCTACTGTTCAAGAAATTCATACTTTGTCCACGGGTCTTCTTCGTCGACTGAGCGTTACAACTATGCAACTAATTATATCGAAAGTTACTTTAATATCGAAATAAAGTTAATACATGGGTTGTAAACATCCAGAAATCTACTGATTTTTATGATTCTATTAATGAATCAATAACGTTAACTGAAAAGATGGCTACGTCGAAGCTAGTTGTAAACTGATGTTGTTCCTTCACGAAGCGGCGCCGATATCATGCTTTCTATTTGTCAGACTATATTAAATATTTTTTTCATCTAACGTGTGACTAGGCAGCGGTAACTGAGTGTTTGTGCCAACTACAGAAAATCAAGCTACAGAAACAAAAGGAGTTTTACCTTTCATTCTCTCTTATAGCAGCAAATAATTGGACTGGCAGTGGCTCGGTCATCGAGCGGTTCAGGCACCGTGCGCTTGCCACACCTAAGACTCCGCAACCTGAATAGAAGGCCAACTCGGGATGACCTATCGACGATGCCGTAGGCCTCATATAGTGAATAAACACTGGAGGAGCGATAGAAATAGCCGGTTGAGAAAGGCCGACCGTGCTCGCTAAACAGGAAACAAAGCTTAAACGAAGCCTCACTGCTCCGGCGGCACGATATGGAAGGGGGCATCTATTCGATTGATAGCAGAGGTGCGAGCACCAACTACCGTAGTGCTGTTTTGTTATCCTTGCGAAGATTTGCTGCCCTGGCATCACCTCTCCCTCCGATGCTTTTCATCGATTCCTTACCACCATCAATCACTTCAGTGTTCGTATATTAATGGTGATAAAGATGATGATCCTGACACCGCCCGCTGCTTCGAAGTTAGAAGAAGAGGTAGAACTGCCCCGATTAGTCATAGCGAGAAGTAGCAGCAGTAACATTATTAGGTAAGGCTATCAGGGTCTTCGCGATATTCTCTATTGTTCAGTTATACTGGTATCCTATTCACTAGTTGAGGTGTACTAGCCTAGTTGTTACTAGTATTATTAGAAATGTAACATTAACAGTAATACTAGTAACGTTACTACTTTCACACAAACAAAGGCGGTGTCTATACAACCGAACCGTGCGATATGGCTTGGTCGTGTAAACCTAAACGGAACCTTAACCTGCTAACCCTCCGATACGGTTTAATCGTCAAGCGCGGCAGGGTGATTCCAGCAGATCTGTTGTAGCGTCGGTTATTCTCTCCAGCTCTGCTACTACACTTCATGCGCTATGTGTCAAAAGAACGATTTCCTTAATATAATTGTAACTATTAACCTGTTTGTGTGTGCCCAATAGAATAAAATTTGTTTATATTTACAATATTTGTTTAACCTTATTCGATCGTATATTAACGGAATACAAAAGTTCCAAAGCTTCTATAGTTCGCTGCCTTAATTGTGGCAGAAGCTTCACAGGCCAATATGAATGGTCCAGAAGCGCAGAGAGACACATGAGTGATTGTTCCTACAATTTGCTTTTAAAAAACCAAAATATAAACGATAATATAGTGTGTCACACAAAATTAAGCGTACTTATCGTTTTCAACCTCTACTCGTTAACTGGCAGAGGCCGAGTTGGGGGTCATCTGAACTAGAGTTATCAAACAAAAAGACTGCAGCAGGGATACACGCTCGTTGGCCATCGGCAGCGAGCTTATCAATCAGCCCACGAAGTGTATATCAATTGCCTGCCACCGTGTCCTATACACACATGTCCGACCGGTCTGAATGTTTTGTCGCTGACGTAACAGATTGGTGTTGTTGTAGACGTAGGAAGAAGCGTTTTTCGCAACGAAACAGCGCAATGCAATGCCACCAGCAACCAGCGGAAAGGATGATCCCGTTTCTTTTAGCAAGAACAGCCCCTCTTATAACATAAATATCACTTACATTTTGCCGAGTTCACTTCAATGCGTGCTACGAAATCATTACAACACGCTAAGGTCTGTTCCAGTCCGATTATTGAAGCTTCTCTACTAAGTCAGTGCCGTTGTGAGACAAGCTGCGGTCATAAAGAGAGAAATCTGTGCTTTATTGGGCCGAGTCGACAACAGTGTTCAACTTCCGCAGATACCACATGAATCCTCTAAGCTACGGCTTTTTTGTAAGTGAGTGGCATGATCTGTAAATAGGCTCAATGAAACAGTGACGTCTGTTTCACGCGCTTTTCCATCAATGATTCTGTGGAAATCATCGCTTCCATCAGCTAACCAAAGTCCAACACACTTTAGAACACGTTTATAATTGCGCCGGCAGCCGTAAGTCGCCAACTCGACATATGTATCGACCCGTATGATAATATACATTCTTTTTGTTACCCTGTCTAATGTCGTATGTGTTACGTTCCAAGGTAAACGCTGGCTACCGTTAGGAATTACTTGTCGTCGATGATCGGTTGTCGGACATCTACACCTGCCCACTACGATCTATAGTAATCATATTTCAACCTGCTGTTTCAATACGAGCCTCGATATTCGAAAGTAATTTCGGGTGTCCAGTATTACTGACTACGACATTTATAATAGCAATAACAGCAGTGGTAAAAGTAACAAAAACAACCGTCAATAATTACCATTATTAATATTATCACTATTATCGTTGTCAATTTATCCTATTACTACTACGCGTACTAGTTTTATCTTTTTCATGTAACCAATCACCTCCAATGACCATTCTAGGTTCGTACTATCATCACCATGGGCATCTCCCACGACACGAGACGTGCCCGTCTAAACAACGACAGGTACCACATACGTCTGTTTTCGTTGCTGCCGTTCTGCGTTTCCTGCTGATTCCAAGCGAGTCCCCAATCGAATGGCCTCCATTCCGTTTGGACCCGCCGGTTCCAAGAGTATCGCCTCCGTCACTGGCAGCGCGACACGACCACGACGACAAAGGTCACATTCACTGACTACAGGTGCTGGCGGGCCCTGTCGGCCAATACTTAGAGGCACTTAACCAGTACACATCGCTACTTTACGAAACAAACACATTGCCACGTCAACTGATGAGACACGGTGGCCGCCACTAAACTCGCCGTTGAATGGAAGCAGCGCTACCAATACCGATGGCCAGTGTGGCGGCGGTATAGACCGTCCTGTCGCAGCGGCTAGACTAGAAAAATAGAGGCAGGATCAGCGGTACTGCTACTGCTTTTGGCAATCCCTTGAAAGTGTGGCGACATACAGACGCGAAGACGAAGAATAACGGCACTCCATT